CCCTTTCCCCTTTCCCCTTTCCCCTTTCCCCGATATAGTAAGCAGTTAAAAATGGGTGTTTCAGTTCTAATGGGTCAACACTCTAAAAAACCAAAACCCCAAAGAACAAAATCTCCTAGTTCCTACCCCACCCCAGCTAGTGACTTTTCCAGCTTTCTATTCAGAAGACTTCTGGACAAGCACTCCTTGAAGCAAACATGATGTTTTATACGCAGCCAATAAAAGAGATTTGTTTGGAGGCTTTAAAACTTGGGACTCCAAGGAATTCTGAAGCTGGCTGTGTTTATCAGTTAAGTCACTTAGCTGTGGTTCTCTTCATGGCTTTAGGAGAGGGCAAATTCCAAGATTTTTTCGGAATGGAGGCTTATGAATATCTGTTAGGCATAAATAACTGCTGGAAAAGCCTTTTTTAAAAAAAAAGATAATTCTAGGATGCATGCTTTTGAGTCATCATGATGGTATTTCAGAAGGCAGAGGCTAAGCAGTTTCTGTGAAATGCTCCCTTAAATTTGTTTTGCCTAAAACTGCAAAGATACATTGTCTCCAGTTGATTCTGAAAAAAAAGCCAAACTGTTCTCACTTTGACTTCCAGAATTATAAAAAAAATCTATAAAGTGATCCACTAGTAACTTCTCCACTTCCTCTGTTAAAGAACTGAATGGAAGCCCTTAGAGATATTGGACAGGTTTCCTTGCTAGCCCCTGACTGCATCCTTCTGTGCTCCCAACACATGAACAGACCTAGGTCTTCTGAAGTTGTCTTTCTAGGACACTTCATGTGTGAGCTTGACTCTAATGAAATGTACTGCAGGAATAATAAAACAGATTATGCTGAAAGAATTCTATGTGTTTCCTATCTCTTGTCAAAAGGAAAACAACAACCCTCAAACAACCCAAGCTTTGTTGCTATCCCAGTGTTTTCTTCTGCTTCATGCTTTGTGCTTGACAGACCTGATTGCCTTCTATGACAAAGTCACCTGCTTGACTGATGCAGGGCAAGCAGTGGACATCATCTACCTGGACTTCTCCAA